GCTCCTAACATATTAAAAACATTACAAAATACAAAAAAAATCCAACATTTTATAATGAATAATCAGAATAACAAATAAAAGGAAAAGAAAAATGAGACAAAGACAAATAAGGAGGAAAAATAAAATCACACTCAAGAAAAAAAATACAGGCTGGGTTTAATGATGGTGACCTCCCCCTCACTCCTCTCTTTCTGAGTCGATGGCAATGTTTTCATCACGCAACACAGAACAGCAGAGGCTACAGAACAGCTTAAACTCATCCAGCCCAATCTTTTACTTTTTGTTTATTCTTTTAAGGGGGAAGCGCTAGTGAACTTACCGCCAGCTGCCTGTCACCCACCATCATTACATCTCAGCACAACATCACCACATTCCCACTTCCAAGAGGGAATAACAGGAGGATGAATAAACAGGGAAGGAGGGATATCACTCTTTATAATATGCTTACAGCTTGGGAAAATGTGACACTATGCATCCCAAGTGTTTGGACATAGACAACACATAAAGGAAGGGATTCTGTAGTGGGAATAACCAGAATCAGAACACTGTGGTTTAATTATAATCAATACAAAATCTATACTTGGTGTGCAAAGCTTGATAATCGTGAGTACAACTAGCTGTGTTGTGCATTTAAGTTCAATTTCAAGCTGTACCAACTCAAGCAAATATAAACTCATAATAGGGAAATGAAGATAAACTAAATTATCTTTACAATGTAGTACATGCTGAATCGGGCAGGGTGGGGTTTGGGGGTTCTCAGGAGATTACAGTAAACCAGCATGGAAACTTCTGGCCATTGACAGGAGTCCATTCACGGGAATTGGCTTGAGGTGTTGGACACTGCGGAGAGGTGGTTAGTTCAAGACGAAAGTCAGAAATCAGGGAAATTCTTATTCTACCCACCTGGGCCACTCAGCGCACATTACATCCAAATTCAACTTCTAACTAAAACTAATATAATTAAAGCATTCAAATGTAAAATTATCCTCGTATTTCCATCCAAAAAATGGAAAAAAAAAAATCTCAAGAGATGTTCTGATCCAATTAACTTTTACAACCTACAGAAATAAACACAATAAGGCTGAGGTTGCTCAAGGATAGAGACAAGAATTCCTCCATATTCTGGACTTTCGGTCTTGACCGACAAAAGGAGCAGAGCAGAACACAGAGAGAGGCACGTATCAAACATCTGACGGGTCAGAAACACAGGCAGAGACAGCTTTACAGATACACATATCTGACATTTCTCTGAGCACGACTTGAACATGGTTCTCCAATCAATGCAACTTATTATCTTTTAATGAGTTAGCGTCCATACCTTCTGCCATTGCTTTGTATTTAGTTATGATTTATTTCATCTAGTTTCATCTACAAAGAACAAAAGAGGCAAAAACTTGCAAATGGGTAAACTGAATTARAAGCACTTGATTTAGGTGCAAAAACACGAAGCAGAGTTCATATTCAAGCAGCTCAAAGTGATTTAAAAAGTTTTGCTCAACAGAGTTGTAAAAGGTGACAGAGGCAAGTGTCTTTGATGTGGACAGGCTATAAAGCCTTGAAAAACACTGTCCTTATAGCAAAATTAAATCAAATTTATTTCTAACAGCACATCCTCTCACCTAATGCAAGCCATGATATTCATTTAATACTGACTTTTTAAACCTAACCACACCCAACTGACAACAAGGGGGGCGACACACACACAAATGGAAGAAAAATATATTGAAAATAATACATATAATCCATTTAACTTGACTTATAATAGTCTAATAAAAATGTATTTGCTTTAGCAAAACTGCAGATTAACCTTAACTCCGCTCACATGTAGTCTGTTGTTGGATCAGGGTGGGGTTGAGGACCAATAACCTACTCAAATCCTTTACACAAAAACAAACGATGAAGAGTATGACTTACATCCACAATGAAGAAGTCCAGCCAGCACCAGGCGTTGGTGAAATACTTGACGAAACCATAAGCAACCCACTTCAGCAACATCTCCAGGATGAAGATGTAAGTGAAAACCCTGTCGGCGTACTCCAGAATGATCCGAACGGTCTTCCTCTGCTCAATGTACACATCCTCAAAGGCCTGCAGAGAAACAGAAAACATCAGGCAGAGACAGCTGCAGATCTATCGCAATGGTTTATGAGCAGGCTAACGAAATTTCACACAGCTCTGAAAGAATAATGCTTCTGCATAAAATGTTTAAGCTAATTTTCCAAGTAATAAAGCTTTTATGAAGAGTCATTGTTTTGATTTTAGCAACATTTGACAAGCTTTTTTTTTAGAAATATGTCTATTAATTACAGAATCCTTCACAGTAACCAGACGACCACACAAGTATCGACTTCTTTTATCCTCTTAGTTCCACAAACACATCAGAACTCTAATGTTCTTCTTGCTGTCACAAAACTGTACAATTTTCTTTGCAGTTGAACAAAATCCTTGGTTTCCTGTAAGTCAAACACTTTGCTGTAGGGTTTGAATAATGTATTCGTCTCCAACGTCTGTCTCCCCCTGTCCAAATGCTAACACAAGCCTCCTTACCAGAGCTCCACTACTGAGGAGGATCATGAAGATGATGAGGGTCTCAAACCAGTTGTGTTCCACGATCAGGTAGCAGGTTTTCCTCAGGTACCACCAGCTTTTCCCCCAGCCCACGGTGATGTCAAGGTAACAGCATTTATACTTGGCCACACAGGCTGAAGACACACAGGAAAAGAGGCAAGATGAAATAATCAAACCCTGTTTTAAAACCTGAGCTTTAAATGAATGAATGAATTTATTTATTTGGTCGGGACAGTGTGCAATTAAAATATAAACATAAAAACATTTGATGCATTGCACCAGATTTAGCCTAAGGCWAATTTACATCTGTAGTCCCTCAGACAGTAAAAACAAAACGATATCCAACAGTAACAGAAATAAGAAAAAAAAACAGAAAAAATTAAAATAAAATAAAATAAAACACGAGCTATTTATTGCCGAAATTTGGCATTTCCTTTTCTACAAACATTGAACGTTAATTTATATTGTATGTAGGATACAGTAACTCTGCTTAGCTAATCCAGACTGCATCATGGAATAAAATATATCTAATAGTGAGGAGCCGATCCACCTGATCTGGAAATAACTATTTAAATACTGAACTTTTATATAAAATATGAAAAGAGGTTTAAAAAAAATAATGTTTCAGAAGAAGTAGATCCCATCAAGAACCTGGCATTGAACAAACTGCTTAATCAAATTGCTCGAACATTTCAGACTGAAAAAGATTGCATTATTTTATTGTATTATAATAATTTTTGGTTTATGTTTGCAATACAGATCCTTGCTTGGTATGTAAAAATGTTTATTTTGAAAGGCACTGAAGCATCAGCGCAGCCATGTAAGCATCTGATGGGCTGAAACACAGTTTCCATGCACGGGTAATTCTTCGTGATGAAATTCTCCTTCACCCTGCAGGCTCAGAGTGGTCTGTGAGGAGGGGTGAGGGGCGGGTAAYGAGTGCAGTGGAAGCAGTGGCCTCACCATCTGTCCAACATGCTTCTGGTTCCATGTATTCCTCCACCGTCTCCACCACCACCACCTCCTCTACGTCTGGCTTGATGTCGATGGTGCTGCCTTCTGAGGAACTGGTGTCGTCCAGCTGCAGAGGCAGATGTGAGTGCACAGGAAAAAACAATTRGTAACTAAAGTCAATGTTTCAACTGTTTCTCTCTTTTCAAATGAGAGTTGCTCAGTGGTTAGGCTGCTAAAACTTAAAAGATACTTTTTCCAGTGCTGAGAATGCAGTCATAAGCATTACATATTATCAACATGAACACTGAAGTGGAATATCAAATGGCAGATCATTGGCTCTGAAAGTCTTTTAAATGCCTTTTATCAGAAGACAAATGTCAGAGGACATTCATTTTTCCACACTGCCTGCCTGCTCGAGCCACTCTAGATGCATTCAGTGAGTAATGGAGTTAYATTAGTATCTGAGCAGAGCAGAGTAGCCTGTCACACCCATCATATTACCGTGCAGAGAGAAAACTGCACCGTGCAAAGCAGCAGAGGAACATAAACAACAGCAAGAAAGACAGGATCATTATTTACATGTTGATACCTAAGGTAATTGGAGAGCGCCAATGAGCTTTAAAACATGGTACTGAATACTGTAACAACTAACCTCTTTGCTGTTCTCGATGTCGGACTCACTGCTGAAGTCCTCTGTGTTGAGGTTCTCAAAGTCGGACTCTCCCACAGCGATGGGCACACAAACCGTCAGATTCGGGTTGTGGATGAACGACATGTGGTCCTCGTCGATCATATACTTCCCCACGCTGCTGCCAATACCGCTGGTGGTGCCGTTGCCATTCTTGGCATAGTCCAGGTCACGGTTAATGTCCACGCCCGTGTGATTGCCAATGTAGTTCACCTTCTTGTCATACATGTCATCTAGAGGCTTCTGCTCATCCTCCATCGGCGGCTTCCTGAGCAGGCTCGCCACCAGCAGCCGCATCTTCGCCTTTATCCACGCAATGCCTTTCTTGATGCGCATGACGGAAATCTGCAGATTGTTGGGCTCGCCGTCGTCGTCCGTCGCAGCCAAGTTGTCGGCGCTGAACGAGCTCAGCAGCAGGGCAAGGAACAAGTTCAACACCTTAAAACGCAAAAATAAATACACACATCGAGTCACCGCAAGAGCGGTAAACGTTTCAAATCTGACCCGGTCCGTTTGAACACTCACCACAAGGTTACCGATGACCATGACCATCATGAAGACGATGAGGCACATCGCCTGGCCCGCCACCTCCATGCAGTCCCACATGGTCTCGATCCACTCCCCACACAGAACCCGAAAGACGATCAGAAAAGAGTGGAAGAAGTCGTTCATGTGCCAGCGGGGCAGCTCGCAGCTCTCAGAGATCTTGCACACGCAGTCTTTGTAGCTCTTTCCGAACAGCTGCATGCCCACAACAGCAAAGATGAAGACGATGATGGCCAGCACCAGAGTCAGGTTTCCCAACGCTCCCACTGAGTTGCCAATGATCTTAATCAGCATGTTGAGGGTGGGCCACGACTTGGCCAGTTTAAACACTCTCAGCTGATGTTAGATAGGCAGAGAGGGGAAGAGGATTGTGAACTGGTTATTAGTTTTTGTAATCAACTAATTCATTTTAATATACTGTATGTGACCTTTCACATCAAACTGAGGATTAGGTCAAATTTGGTCAAAATGACCTAAACAGGTTTCAGAGATTTGTCTCGATTTGTCTTACTAAGCACAATAAACCAGCATTAGCCCCGACACTATCACCCTATAAATGTATTAGCTCAGCGCTACACATTCTCCTCTCGTCACMGAGGTCCTCCATCCACATGACAGAGAGGGGAACACAAAAATGACTCAACCTGCAACTAAAAATATGGATGGAGGACCTCTGTTTAGTTTGTTTGTTGCGCTAGCGCCGAGCTAATACATATAAGGCAAGGCAGTGTCGGTGTTAGCCTAAAGGCTAACAGGCTAAGCTGAGGTTCTTCTTCCATGAAGCAGCTCTGTTGTCCTCCATCCATATTTCTGTTAAAGGCTGAGTCATTTCTACCTTCTCCTCTCTGTCAACRCTCTCTGGTTTCATTTAAAAGAGCCGATCGTCAGATATTGTCCAAGATTAACCTTCAGGGTGGATACAACTTGCTAGCAGCCTCGCACTGAGGGCCTGTCAATGTCATCATTTACCCAGAATGCTTTGTGTGTAAATAAAATGGCCCAGTCCGTGTTAAAATATATTGTAAAAAAATTACAAAACTAAACAGCCTACAGTATTTTTACAGTCTTTATTTTACAGTTAAAATATATGTTTATCAAATAACGTCTAATGTTACAACTAATCAGGGATCCCTTTAAGACTTCTCTGTTCAAAATTCTGTTTTTGAAGCTAGTGCTCAGAAAGGGGCTTCAAAAAGATTTTTAAAGATTAAATTTCAGGCGGTTCATAATTGTCCCAAACACCATTTTGCAACTTAATCCTTGGTTCAATGTGATGGGTCACATGTGTTATTTTGGATCAGTGAGGAGGTTTACCAATCTGAATGACCGCAGCACAGAGAGACCCTCAACATCAGCCAGAGCCAGCTCCACTAAACTCAGCGTGACAATAAATCCATCGAAGCAGTTCCAGGCCTCCTGGAAGTAGTAGTATGGATCCATGGCCACAAGCTTTAAAAGCATCTCTCCTGCAAAGATCCCTGTGAATACCTGTCAGGCAGGATGGAGAGATGATTTGAATAAATGAATATATCATAGCAAAGTTTCTCAGTTGAAAAAAAGTGAAGCATAATGAGGAAAGACAGTTGGCTTGCTAATTGGGTTCTTCTGATAAAAAGCATCTCTTTCAAATGCAGAGTTGCAAAAATCAGAACCATAAAAAACTGACATTTTTTCTCCTTTGTGAGCAAAGTTTTTATTTATTTATTTTTTGTGTTGGCAAATACCTTACTAGACTACTCTATAACATTACTTGTCTGACAGTTCGTTTTTTTGTATTCTACAAATTTTCCAATCTTTTTTTTCCAATACCAACTTTCAAAACAGCACATTTCTTAAAAAGAAATAACATTGTGCAATTTACTATGTTAGCATTGTTTTGCTTGTGTTACTGTGATAATGTAATGATATTTCTGATACTGAAGACAAAATGCTACTTTTATATAACCTGAAGCCATCTATCCCTCCACTCAGCTGTGGACTCTGATTTTTTTTTTTTTTTTTTTGATCATTCAAAAGCCATCCATTCAAATTTTAGTTTATGTTCTAGAGTTTATGAACCACAGTAACCTATGATTCTGCTTACAATTATTTCTAAATAGGGATAGGTTTTATTCATCTTTCTTTTTGTATGAAAGGGTATATAAAATAAATTGCTAGAGCAAGTCGGGAAAATTAGACATTTTTGACAAGAATTAAATTTTCTCCTCAGTATCATAGTATCACAGAAGAAATTTATGACATCTTATATTTTTCATTATTACTATTATTATTATTATTATTATTATTATTATTATTATTATTGTTGTTGTTGTTGTTGTTGTTGTTGTTGTTTCAATAAAAAACTACTGTTTAAATATTTCATATGTTATAGTTTTTTATTTAATGTCAACACTTTTTTGGAAACATGTAACTGACACTTTTAAGAAGTGTCTTTTTTCAGGATTGGTCTAATTGTTGAACTCAGAATGTGTCTCACTTGCTCTGCAGTCAGAATGAATGAGAAAAAAGACATCAATAGTTCTGTGGTTTACTAAAAACTCTAATGAATTAGACTGAAAAATGTCATTCACAGAGCCAAGATAATGAATAAATGCATCCAATAATGTTTTTCAGTTCACATGAACACTTTTATGTTTGGGATTCTAGATAAATGCTCTGGGAATTGTTTTTCATACAAAGGCGTTGAATATTTTGATCTTCTGATCAAAAAAACAACATATTCCGTATTAGAGTAACATAAAACAAACAAAACTCCTGGCAAATTATACAGAGAAATAAATATAATTTTTAACTAAAAATGTATATTTGAGCACATTAGTGAACAAAAAAAGTGAAAAATTAATTACTTTTTGCCTATGTCATTCTGTATACATTTTTAATTGGTGAGCTGAAGTATGYAAACAAACATCACGATGCCAATGCTCATGTTTACTCGTGAAAAAAAGAGAACAACATCAATAACAAGTTTATCTGAGCAATGAGTCAGGCACCATTTTAGTGCAGCTCATCGATACGGCTCCATGAAATATTAATGCAGGCCTCCCACCAGTCAGCTAACCAGCAGAAAGACAAGGCTGCAGAAAACACCAACTCTTTGCATCGAGAGGAAGAAAAAAAGGACAGGGAACGAGTGTGTGCACGTGTGTGAACGAAACACAAATCCAGAAAAACTGCAAGTGATCTGAGATCATTTTTTCCCTACTTCCCCTTACTCTCTTTCAACTCTGAGTAGATAATGAAAGCTGCTGCCAATTATGGTCCAAAAATAGCACCTCTCTATGGGCTGCTGAGAAGAAGCTGAACACATTTTTTTCCTATCAGTGAAAGGGATAAAACACAAACTAAGAGCATAAAAACTGCCACTCACCAGATTGCCTACAGACAGCATGTCCTCAAAGTCGGGCGTCATGGGGTAGTGCTCCATGGCCATGAAGAGGGTGTTGAGAACAATACAGATAGTAATGGCCAAGTCCACAAAGGGATCCATGACTATCAGGTTTACAATCTCCTTGATCTTAATCCATAAGGGGCAGCATTCCCAGATCAGGAATGTGTTAGAAAACTTATACCAGCATGGCGGACACTTGCGCTGAGACTCCTCCAGTTCTGAAGACATAGCGCAGATCATATATCAAAACCAAACATAATAGCATGCCAGAGCATACTGCAAGCATGCAATGGTATATTATGATATAAAAAATTGTATGCATTGTATGTATCTGGTACTGTTTCGATTTGCAAAGCAGATAAGCAGGAAATTCATGTCAAAGTAGTCAAACAAATGAGTGCAGCCCTAGTTAAAGAACAATGAGAAAAAGCAGGTTAAATAGCTGGGTTAAAGTGGCAGTACCCTCCGCTAGTGTGTTGGTAATGGCGCTCATGACACTGTTGGCCCGCTCTTTCCGCCCAAAGGAGGTATTGAGCTGGTCCACAGACACCATCAGGGAGCCCGACAGCTTCTTCTTCACCTCAACCTCAGTAGTGGGCTGTCAGGAGGAGAGGAAGAATCAAGCACCCATGGAGAGGACATGAACCCCATCCCACATCACCACCGGTGGCCGGCGGAGGGAAGTGCACAACAGCACTGAGGATAAAGTAGTTAAAGATTTGATTTTTTTTTCCTTTCTTTTTGAGCATGTTTCACTCTTTTCTGTCTCAATCTGATTTCATAAGGTATGTGCTGTAAATCCATGCAGGTCTCAGCCAAAGTGGGAGCGGTGGGCTATTTGACCTAATTGTATTTGAATGTAATAGCTCATCCCACTTAAGATAATAAATGTGAGAAATTGTGCAGGGAGAACTGCTTCTGCATGAATGCATTTCCAGTCATGCAAAAATGAAGGCTTTGCTGCCATTGCAATATAATCACTATGTTATTTTATATATTTATATTTTTTTTCCAAAAGCTTCTCCCAATTCTGACCTTTTCTATGCAAATAGATGCTGATCAACCTTCTTACTTTAAAAACATACAACTTATATTGCAACCATCAAGTCAGGAGATCATATGAATGCAGGAAGTTCAGATCCATCCAGTTGTCATGCACAAGCATGCTCCAAGTCAAAGAGAAGGAGAGGAAAATTACAGATAACATTGCCAGTTGTCTATGTACCTACTGTACATCATGCTTTTTCTAATTGAATCTTAACTCTACCATGCTAACTAAAATGAAACCAAAYGAATTTACTACTGTTGACCAGGGAGAGTTTGGAAAACAGAAAAAGGTAAAGACAGACAAGGACAGCAGCCCTCTTTTGTTTCTTAAAGATTTTCCATGATGGCCTAAGTGGACTGTGTATGTGTGTGTTTATGTGTGTGTGGGTTACTTTTCTATCTGCACTGGAATAGTATAAGGGAACTAGGGAAGCAGATAAAAATATATTTGACTCTATAGTGCTGGTCTCCCATGTCCTCCGCCTCTTACTGTAGATCTACCCACACACAGCAGAGGACCTGGATGCCTGGAGGAACACATCAACACACTGAAGCATGCTAATACATTATTATGTTATCGTTTTTGATAACAAACATTGTGTGTTCAACAGGAAGTTTATGCCATTCTGTGCACAAAAATTTGTTTTAACCAGGTTTGATAAAAGTGCCAAAATGTAACGACCTGTTGGTGAAGCAGCTGATTTTCTAACTAATTCAATCTGCATATCGTTTGTTCAAAACATTCATTTCTCAGTTCAAACAACAAAACTGACTGGAAGTCATTGATAGACCCAGTTTCACTAATTCATACAGTAAAAGCAGAGTATGTATTATAATCACTGTTATTACCATCAAATTCTCCATCCTTTGCCTAGTTCTGAGAGCAGCATACACTGCRGGGGCTGGGGGAGGGAAGGCGCGAGCGCTTAGCCAAGAGATACATACGGACTTGCAAAGATGACAGAGTTGAAGAAAGAGAGCCAGAAAGAAACGTAACGAACGAGAGAGGAAARGGGGGGCCATGCCTAGATAGGTCTACTCATTGACTTCCTTACACTGTCGTCAGAAGCTGCCTTATCTATTTTCACCTCTGGCAGAAGGCGTCCGCCAGGCCCGGGGCCAATGAGTGACACCACTCCATTGCAATCCACCGTGCTGTTCCTCTTCCCGTGGAAGCCCGTGTAGCTGTTCCGCCGGTAGGGGCTGAAGAGGGAGCCGCGGCGCTCCTCGCACTCCTCCACCGTGCTGTGCTCGTCGTCCGCGAACTCGGTCTCCGAGCCCATGTCCTTACCTCGGCCCTTAAAACTGAAGATGCTGCTCTTGCTGTTGTGACGGGAGAGGAAGGGCGAGCCGGGTATGCTCAGGAGAGACTGCAGAGGAGAGGAAGCAGAATGAAAACAGAAGAACGTTCATGGGTCCTGCTAACAGTAGTGTTCCTGTGCGGAAAATAAGCTAGATGTAATCTGAACTAAATAAGTGTTTTAATGTACTGTACTGAATGTCTCATGGACGGATTTGTGAATTTTTACTGCTGATATWTCGCAATAGAGCAAGTAGAGCCAAAGTGAAGCTCAAGCAAAGCAGCAACATTGTTCCTTTAAAAACATTCAATAATTCAGAACCTGGTTTTGTTCGGCTTCATCCGAGGCCACTGCATGTATGAGAACATGATTTGAGATCTTCCACTTTTGGCAGCTCTAAGCAAAAAACTAACACCACTCCTGCTGACACCTGATTTACAAGGATTTATATTCTGTTAAGAACAATAAAAAGATAATCTTTTATTTTAAAGGGGCAATATCATGTAAAATCAACTTTTTTGAGTTTTATATCATGTTATAATGTTATACTCTCATAAAAAAACATGCCCAAAGCCTTGCTTTGACTCATTCATGCATGTTTGAGAAATCCTGCAGCGTTTTTAGGCAGCCATGCTGAGGAGGAAAATGACAGGTGAGGACCAGAAATGCCTCTGGGATGTGTCTTTAAGCCGAACTTCCTCATGGCAGAGTGCAACCCCCCCTCCCCACACACCCCGCCCATGACTCCTGCAGGCTCTCGTCAGTAACAGAGCAAAGTGAAAGTGAAACTTAAACTGTCTGCTGCTCTTAACACTATTTCTCACTCAGTGAAGCTCTTTTCRGATTCAAAATACCTTTGAGGAAATGTATTTTCAGATGCCAAGTAAACTGCATCATAGTGCACGCGCAATTCCGCCCCCCATCCCTACCCCGGCTCCGGCAGGCTACGTGCTGACATGGGCGTGACCGAAGTGGTTGGATTTTCTTAAAGAGACAGAGACCTATTTCAAGGCGCTTAGAAACTGTCAAGATGAGAAGTAAATTGTTTTGGGGATTTTTACAAATATATAGCTCTTTCATAAGCTGAAAATGTGACATAGTTACTTTATTTTAGTTTAAAATTGAAATATAGGCTTGGAAAGCACATAATATCGCCCCTTTAACATAATTTAAGTTATTTCTCAAATCAGTGTCTAATTTTATGAGGACATTGAATATTTTTTTCTGGTTTACCAAAAACCAATTTTTTGGCTGATTATGTTTTTATTTACATTTGAAGTGACTGGGCCTTTTTTTCCTCTTACCTGGTTCATAATAGAAGACTTTCGACCCAGGCGGTTATCAGGGAAACGGAAGCGGCTCCGTTTGCTGCCGTCATCTGACTCTGACTTGACAAACTTCTCGCTGTCGCCTTTCTCCTTCTCCTGCTCCTTCTGTCGCCACTTCTTCTTGCGATTGCGGCGCTCTTTGGCACTTTTCGAGCTGAGCTTTGACATCTCAGAGGAGCTGACGGACAGACGCCCTCCTCCATCATCCTCCACTGCATCCTCTGACACTGTGCCGGCGGAGGTCGCAGGGGGAGCAGTCTATCAAAAAGAGCACGAGTAAGTTTTAAACAGCTTCGACGATTATAATGTAAAACGACAACACCATCCTGCAGAGAACTGACCTGCTCCTCCTGCTGTTTCTTCAGCTGCTCCAACATGGCCTTGAATTCTTCCTCCTTCTGCGCAGCCTCCTCCATGGTGGCCTGGTTCTGCTCCTCATATGCCATGGCGACCACAGCCAGAATCAGATTCACCAGGTAGAACGAGCCCACAAAGATCACCAAGACGAAGAAGATCATGTAGGTTTTCCCTGCTGCCCTCAGGGTCTGATTGGAGGATATCACATACAAGACCCTAAGTGTGAGCAAGGTCACCTCTCCAAGGATGACTCGTCAAAAAATAAGGCCAGGTTTGTGTTTTGACCCACTTTTTTATGCTCAGTTAAAATATTGTTGTAGACTTGGAGAATCAAAACAGTGAGCAGCTTTAGCTTCACAAACAAAATACTTCTTGGAACAAACCCTGGCTAAATAGAGTTTAATGAGGAAACCAGGGTTAGGTTTTACTAAACTCACAAAGATGCATTTAAAATGTTTGACTCTGATAAATCAGTCAGTATATTGTCCACATTTCTAAGAGTACCACAAAGACATTTAAGAGACGAAACACTGTGTCCTAGTGTGTCTCTTGCCTTTTTGGTTCTTCCATTTAAAAATGGAGGACTTAGTCAGACACAAAGTGAAATTCCCTCCAGCATTAATTATGAATGCAGATTATATATATTGCATCTTCTCTGTATAAGGTACAAAAAGGCCACAGACTTTTAGAAATGCCTTCTTTAAATACTGAGAAAATAACATGACAACTGGAATGACTTAGCTTTTTTTTTCTGGGCCTCTAAAGGAGAAGATTCGGCTGCATAAAGATTCTCTTTATCAAAACACAAAAGCTGTGAGAGTCTGCGGCTTAATCTCAAACTCCACAGATAAAAACAAAATCAGGATACTTGTTAAGATGCTGTCATCAGATCAGGTATCTTCTGTGTCACTGGCCACCATTTCTAAATATTGTATCCTTCTTTTTTCTGTCCTTTCATTCGACCCATGTAGTCAGCACAAAAAAATAAGGGTGTCAGCAGCTGGACCACAAGTTTAAGTTATGCTAATTCAATTGAACATTCGCAAAAGCCCCGCCTCCTTAGTTACTGTTGCCCGTCAAGCTTTCTGTAGCCAATAGAGAGTCAGGGCATGAAAATTGCATCGACGAATATCTTCCCTTGGGTCTTAGCCCTGCTGGGGGCTAAGCACCCCTAAATGCTAGATCTTAGAATCGCCCCTGGTATTAGTTTTATTTTTATATTCTTTTTCATTAAGACAAAATAATATATAAATCTAGTCTGTAATCTTAATAGATCTTAGTAGAACTTGGAACTCTTTGAATAAATAATAACAGATAAACTGCATAAATTCTAAAGAAATATTTTTTAAACCCTTAATGTTGGAGTTTGGTTTGGATTTTTGTAAACAGAGATAGTATAATTTGTATAAAGGCAATTATTCTTATTTATTTATTTATTTATTTATTTATTTATTTATTTATTTTGCTTTATTGTGTTCTTAATGATCAGTGAATAAAACCTGTAAAAACAATTAACTTTAGGAGGGTAGGTAAAATAAGCGAATACTTCAACTAACACTTTTAGTCAGTTGGGCAAACCCATTATGTTATTTCAKTGCTCATGTCAGAATTTTGTATTGTTTGGTTTTATTTTCATACGCCAAATTTTACGTGTATAAATGGATCATATTTAGTATTTGATTAAAAAACAACAAAATTGGTCGAACAATTTAACAAGGTTACGATGATTCAGCACCTGATCAAGTTTCCTTTCGATTAAAATGAATGGATGCAAAGTCTATTTTTGTGCAGCATCATTTGAGAACATCTGAGTATTGTAAAGTGAGACAAGCAGGACCTGTTAACACATCTGCTTTACCAGCATGTAAAGGTTTTCCCAGAAGTCCTGCGTCATGAGTCGGAAGAGGGCCAGGAAGGCCCAGCCGAAGCTGTCAAAGCTGGTGTAGCCGTAGTTTGGATTCCTGCCAGCTTTCATGCACGTGTAGCCCTCCGGGCAGCGGCTGAGAGGTGAAGAGAGACACGGAAAGACTTTAAAAAAAATGACCCAACAGTTTTTAACTTTTAATGCAATCTGACCACATGAAGGTCCTGATAGTATCAGTGATAGCATTGAGAAGGCAGCCTACCCAGAGTCAGAGCTGTTCCCGCARAGCAGAGCATCCAACTGGCCATGCAGGATGTAGAAATTGGCTGCAAGTTTAAAAAAAAAAACAGCCAAAAGAAGAAATTTTGCTCACTTTTTGTCACAAACTACTTTATTTTTTAAACTACCTGCAAATTATTGTCTCCAGTTTGTTAACACGTATTCATTTGAGCATTTATTTTTATTTCAGTTCATTTGCCAAAATGACATATTCTTTTTGTCAGTCCAGCATATGGACTGACTCATACTCCTACATTCCTGCCAGGTCACCAACAGCGCAGCTTTGCTTTTACTTACTATCATTGTTGATGTACTCCTCCCAGTCAAAGCCCTTGCTGCCGTTGTTCAGGTAAGTCTCGTTAAGGTTGATTGGCCAGATCACGCACTTTTGTCGCAGATTGCCCATGAAGAGCTGGAGACCGATCAGGGCAAAGACGCTCAAGCAGAAGACGGTCAGGATCATCACATCTGAGAGCTTCTTCACAGACTGGATCAGGGCACCCACAATGGTCTTCAGGCCTGGGGAGCACCCGCACATGCACAAACACACACAGACACAAACACACACAGACACACACACACACACATACACAAACCATGGAGGTGAAACAAAAGCTGCTTCTGCAAAATATTGGTTGTATTTCTATCCAGGCAAGAATAAATTGTTTTTGTTTATTTAAATTTGATTAATCCATGAACTGAAACCTAATTTCATGAAATTAGATGAATTATCAATGTAAACGCATTGATAAAAAGTAAATTTGTGATGCTGTCAATGATTTTCAACATTCTTATAAGTACAAAAATGTCTGTAAATTTTAACTTAAACAGTTTTTCTTAAAATATGCACAAAACTCTAATTTGCACAAAAAACAGAATACAAACAAAACGATTTAAGAAACAAACAGGAAATATTTAGGAGCCTTTCCACTCTTTTTAGGTTATAAAGAATTTACAAGAAGCGTGAGAACTTTGCTTTTGTTGCCAATTATGAAACAGAAAAGAGGGGGAAGGCTGCAAAGTAGTGAGAGGAAATCCATAAAAAAGAGAGCACAGCAGCACAACAAGGGGCCATGAGACAGGGCAGAGGCACAGGCAGGGAGGGGGGAGAGGGGGGGGCTGGAAACCACATGCAGGTCATTTAAACTCCAAGGCTGAACAGGAGCAATTCAATGCTGGTGCCGGTGCAGGCACTTTCTTGAACTGTCTTGTTTAAGGCTTCAACAGCAAAGTACAGACTCCCCRTATACTGCAACCCTGCAGTCTGTCTTATCCACAATTTCACCAAAGACAAAATAACTTTACCTTCCGAAAAGACATCCTCAGGCAGCCCTTCACACAGATCCACAGGAGCTCAAACATAGAAGCAAGACAACCCACACCCCCTTTTTCTGTTCAGCCTTTTTGGGGGCTTTACCGGCGGTACATGCAATATCTTATCAAAAAATAAATAAACTCAGAATTTTGTTTCACATGGTCAGACTATGTTAGTAAAAGTGTCAGTAGCTTGGCAAGGTTCAGCTAAGACAAATACTTTATGTGACTTTATTTTGTTAGCTTGAGAAGATCCCATGGAAAACAAACTGATTTAGCAAGAAAAAAAAGTCTGCTGTGGTGAAGGTACTACCTAAAAATAAACCAGGAAGTTGGGACCTAWTTTACACATAGAAAACAAATTAATAATTATTATGTTTATTGTTATTTCAGAAAAGTGTGTTCAGTGCATCTTGTGTGAACAGCTGCAAGGTAGCTTAGCTTAGCATATAAAATTATAGCAAGGAGATACTGCCAACAGTATTTGTGCACATTTATTTTGGCTTAGCATTAAACAAGGAAAACAGGTAGCATGATTGTATTTTGTATGACTTTACTGCACAAATCCTGACAGTTTTGTTGTAATTTTACAATTTCTTTTACAGATTAATACGTTTATATGTCCAATATTACAGATGTAGTTAGGTATTTTTATGTGCACATTCAGACATTGTTATCAATTAGATATTAACTTAGTGGTTTCTTTACCCATGATAATTTACTGTACTCTATGCTCATTTCCAAATAGTTTTCTCTTAAAACCAACCTATCTTCTACAGACAGATCAGATTTAGACTGATAATTTGGTTTCCATCACATATAAAATGTACACTAGTTTTTAGGATAATTTTAGTTACTGTAACTGAAACTGTTAGGTTCATTTTTGATCTTTAAAGTCACCAGATATTTGCTGCCATAAGCAGAAGTGTTCCAGCGCCTCAACAATACTTCATTGTTGTAACTTGTTAGCGCGGATGTTCACAGCATTGCTGGTATATTTTAAACTTTTTTATATATATTTTACACCTTCTACACCTTCTAAATAAATATGCTGATCCTGCCAACAAAATTTGATAATCCAGGTAAAACTGTGGTTTTATTATGACACGTTTCAACTTTGGACAACATCTGATATCTTCTTTCTTTATGCTAAGCTAAGCAGCTGCTTGCACAAAAGAAGTACCAATTTTCTTAAAATGTTAACATTAGGGATCATAATGTGGTATAAAGCCAAAGTAAATTATTCCTCTATATAAACTTCCAAGTCTGATTTATTGCATTCATTTTCGCATTTCACAATAAAGACTTGTTAAATAAATAAGACAACCATAGTTGCTCTTTTGACTAACACATCTGTCTAGCATGCTGTTTTAACAGACGAGTTGTTGACATCCCCAACCACTTTAATGTGAGAACAGTTTTCTGTGGGATATTTCATTCCAGTCAATAGTAAAAGAAGACAACAAAAAACATAATAATAATAATAATAAAAGTCAATCAAAATGAAAATCAAAAAGAGGGCAAATCAAACTTTCAATGCCATTTGTCAGCCAAGCTCTTCATAATCTAAGGTTATAAAAGCAAGTGACCAAAAAGCATCATGCAGCATAAGAGATATGTTCACAAACTAGGCTTGGCAGTCTTCACACATTTATAATAAGTGCATTCTGTGGGATCTCTCTTAAAACTAGTTTACGTCACATTTAAGGTTTGTATTGTGTCCTTTCTTTCCAATTAAATCTATAGTAAAAAAAAATAAAAAAAAACAGGTGCAGCTAAACACGTTACTTTTATAGATCAACTATAATTTGAAAAGCTACTAACTATTTTTATCTGCATGATCCACAACCTGAAGTTAGTCCATAAACAAAACTGGGGAGATGAATTTCTTTGTTACACAAAAGAGCATTTGCCTGTTATGAAAGCTGGTAAAAGGAGAGGGTTAAAGCGATTTCTTTAAATGGAACCCTGACTTACATGACTTGTAATGATTAGATTTTTTTTATTTAAGAGTCTAAAAAATGTTTTCAGTGTCTGTGCAAAAACTGCAGATGTCTACCTTCTGTAAACAGATGTTCGACTGAATTTAACAGCAGGCTGATGCTTTGGCTACAGACAGTAAAAYGGAGATTGGTGCAAATAGTTACTGTATGTGACTGCTGAGTTTAAAAGTTCAAGAATGGCTTTAAGTTAAATAAATGACAATTAATTGTGTGTTTTTTTTTTTAAATAAATTCAGTGACTCTAAATACAGTCAGTATTTTACCTGCAGTGGACAGCAGCCAGAGAAACCTTATATTCTCAAAGTGGAATCAAACTAACTAGTTTCTACAAGAGGGTCTACTCAAGAAAAAATTGCTGTTATATTAAATAACACAACCTGAAAAAATTAATTACATTTTAAGTAAACGCTCTAAGCTTTAACACTTCTTCACTTTTGCATCCAATGGGTTTTTTTACACAAGTTTTTGATTGTTTACACTGAAAACTGGCCATGTTTTAGCACGGCATGTTGCAACACTATGAAACAGATGTTTTGAGACAGATCATGTTAAGCATACCGAGTCCACATAAATATCTGAGGCAAAACTATCGAGGTGTAAAAATTCACGTTTGCTTCATAATTTTTACATTGTGAATTCTTTGAGATGGAGGAAATTCCCTTTTAAATCAGCCTTCGCTTGAACAGCTGTTTGCTTAAATCTTTCAAGAGATTCTGTGAAATGAGACTGCGCTGTCTGCTGTCTACTGCAGGTAAGATGCTGACTGCTCATAACTACTCCACAGAAACCCATTTAGAAACCTATTCCTTTAAGTGGTGATTGTATTGCTGCATTTTATTACTTGAACTTTGCCATTTAATTGAGTATACATGTAAACAAACAAGAGGGCCTATATTATCTTGCATTATTAGTGGCCCTTGCTACAACAATAAAACTTGGACAATCCAAAGGATTGGAAAAGAGTAGCAGATTTTTACAAAACTGTTTTTGTGGTTTGTGTAAAGATTTGTTTTACTGTAAAACTGTGACAAATCAAATGTTTGGTTGTTGTGGAGGGATGAAGGGTACTGTAGATCAAATTGTTTTATACAGCAGATTACAGTTTAATTTTGAAATAGCCAAAATTTTGTGTTGGAATATTTGGACTTGTAGGTCTTGTTAATCAGGGTTCCATTTAAGAAAAACACAGCTGCCTTGGAGACAAGCCTCATAATGCGAGTGCAGACACTTTGAATAGCCTTAGAGGAGACTGCAAAGCCTATCAAAAATGTATCAGTACCATTTTTGATAATTTTTGGAGGAAAAATAAATCAAAAAATGGCTGTCTCCAATTCTTTTGTTGCTGCTTAAATCATAACTTTRATCATAATAATAGTGAGTAGAAAAGAAAGGGTGAGAGGATCAGCCTTAGTGTTTAAACTGAGTCTCACCTGGAATGACAGAGATAGTTTTCAATGCTCGGAGAACTCTGAACGTTCTCAGCGCAGATACATTGCCCAGGTCCACAAACTCTGTTATATATCTGAAATAGGGGAAGGATCACACACAGAACAAACACAATGACAAAAACCACACACGCCAAGAGCACAACACCACCGAACCGGGAGGAGACGACGCCACTCACAGAGCCTGTCCACTGAGGAGATAGGTGGAAGGTAAAAGGAAAGAAAGACACACACACCTAACACCGACCCCGCCCCACCGTCCCCTGCCCCATCCTGTCTTACCTGGAATTACAGAAATAGTTTTCAATGCCCTCAACACCCTGAACGTGCGCAGAGCTGAGACATTGCCTAGGTTTACAAACTCTGTTATATACCTGCAGGATCAAACCACAGTTACAACAGCACATTATTCACATGCAGAGATAAGATGGAAGGATGAAGTCACACACGACTGGGCTTGGCGACAGATCGACATACAGCGAATTGGATCACTCTGAGGTATGGATTTTAATGGTGAATTTGGTTAAATGACCAAATGACATAAAGTCAACAAGAAAGATGAGGAGTCCTGAAGAATATGTTGCCCATCCCACAAGATTGAGAGTGAAAACATGTCTGAGGAGGACAGCTAAGTGGAAGGAGAAGAATAAATCGGATGAATGGAACGGAGGTGTGGATGTGGTTAGGGAGGCTGCCGAGTACCGGATGGAGGMCGGCATCAATTCCAAAAGAGAAAGACCAGAGAGGTCAGATAAATGGAGGAAACGCTGGAAATGGGTTATCAACAGACAGAAAGGAAAAACCTCAGACAGGCAGAAAGATCAAACTTCAAACTTCTCTACCCATTTCTGGTAAAACACTGCTGTACTGGGACCCAATTTGATTGCTGTCTACCAACGCTACTATTGCAAAGTTCAATACTTACGCCATCGAAATGACCATGAAATCCAGCCAGTTCCATGGATCTCTTAGGAATGTGAAATTGTCTATACAGAACCCTCGAGCTGTGATTTTTACAAGAGATTCAAACGTATAAATTCCTGTGAATGTGTACCTGAAAGACAAAATTATGGACAYGATCAGGTCAGTGAAGTAGATCAAAGTTTACTGATATTAAGATAATTTCACATTTATATTTTAAACAGCACATAGGGTTAGTAACAGTTAAACGGAAATAATTTGAAAAAATAAATATATATATTTAACACGCTTATCTAGTAGAACAAAATGTTTGCTAACATTTGCATGCATTTAGCTAACTGATTTGGATTAAATAAAAAATAAGGTTATTAAAGTTGTTTCCATAAAATCAGTATCTCACTGGGCTGTGACTATTGGAGACTAGCAGCTCATAAAACAGAAAAATCTTCAGTTTCTGTCTCACTAGATTTTTACTGATCAGCAAGCTGTGCAACAATTTGGACAGTAGTCAAGTCAACTTTATTTATATAGCACATTTAAAAACAGCTGCCGTTGGCCAAAAGTGCTTCACATGTTACAACTAGAAGAAAAACAAAAGCAAAATACAAAGTTAAGAACAATAAAAATGTATAAACATAGAAGAAAAAAAGTTTAAAAGTGGAAAATAGCCAGCTCGCATGCTGAATTAAAAGCTCTGGAAAACAGGCGTGTTTTAGATGCAGTATTTATGTGCACRGTTTGCAAAACTGTATTCAAGGCCATGCACATTATTATTTAAGTCTGCAGCCCAGTGAGATGCAGGTTTTATCTGGTGCTTCTAGTTTCTCAGGGTTCTATGATTCCTAACATTCATTTAACGTTATTTAACAAYACAAAAATGCACATTAGAGAAAATCACTTGATGGTTTTTGACAGTTAAACAGTTTGAATGCGTTTTATAAAAAAATGACTAAGGSATATTAATAAAAGTGTACTCACTCTACTTGTTTTGACCACTCGGGAGGATCACTAAAGGTCATGAATATACAGTTGGTCAAAATAGTACACATGATGATCATGCTGAAAAGAGTGGGGTACAGGTTAAGGAAAATATAARGTATGAAGACAATAAACACATAGCAGCATTAAAATTCACACTGCACGATGGTGTCAGACTACGAGACTGAAGGAGGCTAAAAAACTACTCAAAGCACTTAACAGAAGGTGCTCATGTACCGACAACCACAGACTTGAGGTTTAGCCATGAAAAATTAAAACTCTGTAACATTAGTGACAATCTAACAAAAAAAAACTGAACAAGAAAAACTTCACATTTAAAAGCACCAAAGCTTTCACTGAGTGACCTGGACCATGCCTCTGTGTTAGTTTAGAGGCAGATAGCTGCAAATTCTGACCTCAAAAAAGGAAATTAGAATATTGTTTGTGTAACAAGATACTTGTTATTCTGAACCTTTAAAGTATTTAGATGTATGCCCTCCGATCGACACAAGTCATGACATCACAGGTTTTGATTTAGATAAATCAATCTTCTATAACATTATGACCATCTGCCTATTACTGAGGTGGCCCCCTTTTACAACTAAAGCAGCTCCAACCAATCATAACCAAAGAGCAGGTAGTATTTTGGGGTGTGTCTAGTATTTCAGGAGTAAATTTTGCCCTGTGGAGTTTTAAATGGTTTCATGGCTAAATGGCTTCCATCAGATCTGTGAAGTTTGATGGACTCTTGTCTAAAACTAAAAAGCTAAATGCTGTTTWAGAGCTGGTTCTTTCTGTAAGCTTTGCTATTAAAAACAGCAGGTGGGTAGCTGGTAGAGTTGTTACCAGATGAATCAGAAATCTGATTTCTCTTTGTTTTGACCAGCAGAACAGCRTATATTTAGCACTGATCAGCTGCTGTTTGTTCCCTAAAAACAGATTACCTCCTCCTACTGGCTCTTTAATAGCTCTCAAAACAAAGAAGGCTGCAACCGACAGCGGCTCTTTTTTTTTTAGTTCTCATGTGGATAGCACGGATAATGAGCGTACAGAAGGGGTCTAACTTGGTTTACTGTAAAGGATGACTCATTATTTGTGCCAGCCATTTCCTTCAGTGATAAAATGGCTACTGCATGGCACTCTGTACAGTCTAACATGTGAGAAAGCCTTCTGACTGTAGCGAACTGATCTTCTGCAGCAGCAGCAGCAGCAGCAGCAGCAGTGTGAGCAGAAATACAGAACATGCCATCATTAATAATGCATGCGAACAGGAAACCCTCTTGTAGCTGCTATTAACAGCATCATTTTAAAGGATATGAATGTATCAAAATTTTAATAGCTATTTGCCTAACCGGATTGAAAGGACTTATGAAGTACAAGGCAGGTGTGGCACTAAAACGGAAGATTGTCTTCCCTCTGTTTAGCACTATAAATGTCTGTGGAGAGAAAAAAGGAGAGAAAAAGTTTAGTTTGGTTACTGATCAGAAATAAATCACGTACATAACATACACTTCATATACACGTTTTCTGCATCTCAGTGCTCTAAACTGTTACATTAAAAATATATTTGAATTTACTCAGAAGATAGCACATAAATTTTTATTATTGTGACACAATAAAATGAAACTGAAGTGAAACCAGCTGTCAGGATGTTTCCAGTTTTTGCAGTCTTTTCAAAAGAAGGAAACAAGCACGAGTGGCTGGCAAGCCGCTTTCTGTGGATAACCCCATAATTGTGTAAATAAAACATGGAGATGTGCATGAAAGTTTAAAGAAACTGTGCATTTGTACAAGTGATATAGGCTCTTGTGCTTTTAACAAGGTAACCCCTCAAAACATTAGGTCCTGCAGAGGCGCCAACAGAGGAGAAGCAGGGCGACGGTGTCAAAGCCGTGCACGGTCATTGTGTGAAATGTTGCAAACAGGAAGCCTTGCAGGTGTGCATGTGGATGAGACAGAGCTGCTCAACAATATTAATTTGAGACACTGACGCTAAAACCAGCCAAGTTGAACACAATGAGCTAACAATACAGTTTACTCTCTGGTTAATATTACATGCCCGGGCAGCATTTAATTAAAAGCAGAAAAGATGCTGAGTCACTCTTGGGCAACATTATGATTAGATGTAATTGCACAGTTGGAAAATATCCTAATTATTTGGCATTTCTGCTAATTACATTTGTCTTAGGAGGGGTTTGTATGAACGATGGATACACTCAAAATACTATTCTGCACAAACAAGCAAAAATTAGTTTCCAATCAAGAGAAACCAGGTGAGGTGGTTCAGTCATCTGGTAAGGATGCCTCTTTGGGGAGGTTTGTTGGGCTTATCAAACTGAGAGGAGACCCCCCGAGAAGACCCAGGACACACTGGAGAGATTATGTTACTCTGCTGGCTCCTCCCAGATGAGCTGAAAAATGTGGCTGTGATGGATGGATGGATGGATGGATGGATGGATGGATGGATGGATGGATGGATGGAGCACATACACTAAAAACTGCTGAAGTCTGTTTTTGGCAATGCATGACTAAACTGCTGCAAAGCTACTGAAAATTTTATAATCCAGAGCTGAGCGAAGAGGAGAGCAGAGAGGAGGAATGCATAAAAACAGGAGAGATGGAGAGCAAATGAAGCAGGCAGCAGCAGGCTGAGGAGAAGCAGAGAGGAGAGAGCCTGGGAGAAGGAGCTGGGCAGAAGATGGAGAGGAGGTGGGGGTTGGGGGAGCAGCTTTAACACAGAAGCTGGAGGCAGCAGGCAGGGATACAGGATCTGCATCCACGAGGGCCACAGCAGCCATTCAGTGTGAACCCTCCTCTCAGCCTGACACAGCAAATAGTTATTAGGCAGCGTTTTATGGCGCCTTTAGAACTAAAGCCTCTGATTCACTCCCATTCATTAACAGAGAAATGACTCTTCTGATGTGTCGACCTGTTTTCTGATTCATACTTTTAAGTCTTTATACATTCAAATCAAATAAATATTTGTCGTTAATGAATAGCTTTTTTAATTGTATGTTCAGAATAAGTCTGCCAAAATTTGAATAATTAGCAATTCTTTACAAACCATATTCTGAAGAAGCATTCAGACGTATCAGAATACATAATCTGTTTGAGTTAAAGTGATATTTCAGATCTTGATAGTTTATGTATTATTATTACGGCTTTTTGAAGATCCTCAGTTTGGAGAAACACAGGTTAATTCTGATAACAATAATGAGCTAATGGCTAGTCTGAGCATGGCCAAAAGAGGAATGATGCCATCTTAAAAACAACTCTAACCTCCAACATTTTATACTAGCAGGTAGTCTTAGTGGTATTTTAGTTATCCTGCACGCAAATTTGCATCATGTAGTTATTTCATAGAATTATTAAATTAGTTCTGCTGAAAAGTGCCAACAAGTTCACTGGAAGCGCTACAGCTGCTAGCTGTTAAGGGAATCTGTTGACATGAAATGAAACAATGAGAGCCAGTGTTTGGAAATGTGTTGGTTTTTGTGAAATTAAATGAGAAAATGGACTTTAACAAGAGTCATTCAACTTGTGTGCCTGTTTTCATCCAGAGGAGGAAGAAGAAAAAGCAGCTGGTAGTAACTACTAGCTGCTGCTAACAAAGGAGTATTGAGCAGGTAATGTCAAAATGTCAAAATAAATCAGAAAAGACAAAGCAAATGACAGTCGATTGTAACTTTTATTGCAAAGGATTTGCACCTGCATTCAATTGGTGAAAACCAGACATTGTATGTCACGGTTTAACTTAGATCTACAATAGAATTAAGTCATCACAGCCACTCCCACACGTTAGTGGGATAAAAAAAATCTGAAGAAAGTGGGTAAAATAACTTCCACATATGATCCATTGCCACAAAGGCTTCTGTTATTGCTCCGAGCATTTTGACTGATTTTTATACATTTAGTTCCCAAATTTGTGTTTGAAAGAAAGCAAGACAGTTGCAAGTTAGTTATGCAAAGCTTTTGCTGGGTCGGTTAGATTCTAGAGATGTGGTGACAGCAGCTGCACAGGGTAGATTTTTGTCATGGGGCCTGTGCTGGGCACTGTTTTGTGCCGAAAACCGGTTTTTATTTTTGTTATGATATGAATTTCCTGAATACCAGTGTAAATAGCCTGAACATGTGTGGAACGTTTCGTCGCGGCCACCAGTGAACTGTTTCTCGGGGGACATGTTTCCTCGCAGCACCGCTAAGCGCATTAGCATGCTAACGTCATTGTTGGAACAAGTGGCGGCGGGTGGTGTTTCAGCCGCTTATATGGTCTGACATGAAAAAATAGCATCCCGTTTTCACCATCGCTGAATGTAGTAAACAACTCTACAGTGACGTGCATGGTTAGATTTAGCGCTCTGTTATAACAGACTCTAGCGTGCTTCTATTGTGAAAAGCCCGGGGGGGGGGGGGGGGGGGTAGTTTTGTAGTGTAGCGGAGTTGACTGGTGTGTAAGGTGAGTCATCCTTTTAAGTTTTATTAACATGCAACGATAGAACAGATAATGATTTTTTTTCTCAACCCTTCACGATTGGACCTAAATGCATGATTACTGTCTACAACCAGTCAAAGATGAACAGACGTAAAAGAGAAGAGAAACAGTGATACAGAGGTACAGTAAAAGAAAAAAGTCAATAAGCAAAGTTTGTACATTTTATTATCAGCTGAGCTGTGAGGAAAAACAAATACAGTCAAATACTGTGAAACCAGTGTAATTTTTGAAAATACCATGATATAAAATTTGGGTCATACCGCCCAGCTCTACAAGGGGCCCAAAATTCCTTGCAGCGACCGAGTGTAGCATAAAATACAGTATAGGCCTGTCGCGATAGTCAATAAATCAATTAATCGCACGATAACTTTTTTTTAGGTCGGTTAAAAAAAAGACGGCGATAAGTTTCATTTTCCTGCTTGTTTTTTTCCGTCCTCTCTCTCCCTCTCTGTGCTCTATGAAGTGCCGCTTCATAGTGCTCCGTACACAGGAGCTCAACTGACCCCTCCCCTCCTGTTTTCTTAGTGTGGGAGGAGTCAAC